TTTAGGGCAGTGACTAACAGTTATTGCCATTAACAATTAATCTATTGTTTGTTTTCTTGATACATTTTTGGTCTTTAAAGTGTAAGAAAACAGTGAAAAGTGATTACCGGTAGTTGTTTTTCCAGACCAATATTCTATATCACAAAGAAACCTGGTTTAATTGTGTTGATTTTTGGCATCTTAGCTTATAAATTACTTTAACGATAATTATCTCCACCTATGTTATGTTTGTATGTCTGTTTGTCAGCAGGACTACTGAAAAATGTATTTTGTTATAAACGTATAAAATCAAAACAAATTGTTATGAAATTCCCTAAAAGAAGGAAGAAAAAAAATCACATTTTAGAGCAGATCTGAAGAATGGGGGCAGATGAACACAGTATATTCTTACTGATTACATTGCAAGATACTTTAGAATGTGTCAGAATCTTGTCATTACTGGACTAAGACTTGCATCCCTGCATACTTTGAAAGATAAATATGAAGAGAGTATTATGGGCTGCATTGATATAGATTTCTTTGCTTGGTTCCATATCTCCCCATCTGTTATACACATGCAACTATGATGAAGCCAGATGTTGGAAGATCTCTGACAAACACATGAGTTTATTACATTCTCTGCAATGATAATGACAATTCGATATTTCATAATTTATCATTCATATCAAAAGCCATTCGAGTATTGTTTCGTTTCTCATGGCTAAAACAAATCGGAAATCTTGACATGAACAAAAACAGTGATGAATTAGACGCCAATACGTTTCCTCTGTTCTAAAAATATCATGCTCAAACAACAACTGTTAGTGGAGAGCAAAAGCCACAAATGTGTGTGAATGAAACTTCACGGCACACACTGTTTATTGGCCTGCAGCTGTTGATGCGAGATGAGGACCTGTTGAGAGGAATCTGACCTGGTTGTGAGGGATCCAAACACACACAGCTCCCCTGCTCACTTTCCCAATCCAATAGAGTGCTGCTCGGAAATGAGATTATCTGACTGACTTTAGAGCAGATGAAACCTGTGATCTACGCAGCACCTAACACACCAGCAAACTGTCATCAAACAGCATCTCATCTTTGGCACAGCAAGCATGACTGCTCTTCAGATATTATGAGTATTACATCTATTACCAGCTATTACAGGTTCTCTGTCAGATGACCTCTTGGTTCACCCCAAACTTCTCTGGGTCTGTGTTTCCCATTCATACTTCACCAAAAAACCTAATCCATCATTCTGTCTTCCACCAACATCACATAGTATCCAGAGGTGACAATCATAGCACTTCCCTGGAAAAAAACATGACACACAATCAAAGGTGTGTTTGAAGCCAATGACATCCTGATCTCTGCTCCACAGAGGGATAGAGTTGCGGGTTCCAGGCATCAGAATGGTGAAAACGCTGAAACTCAAGCTTGTGGATCTCATAACGGGCTCGGCCCATGGGCCCTTCACCTGAGCCGCGGGAGAGGGGTAACTGATAGGCCCTCAGCTGGCCCCGGCTCCGGCTGCATTGGACGCTGCCGTGGCCCCTGTGCTAATTAGCTCTCATTGTTGACAGAGGATTATTTGTGAAGGGGAGCCACGCCTCGCCGGCTCTCTATCATCCTCCTATTTAAGTGCTGCTCTTCTCTGATGAATTATTAATGGCTCTATCAGTCCACAGCTTTCTTCACTCTGTGTGCTACAGGCGGCAGGTGAAGTGTGATGGGGAGAGCCGAGGACAGCTACAGGTGGATAGCTGCGAGGCTTCAAGGGTCAACAGGTCTGCTTACAGAGGGGCTCCTTCAGTGAACTGTTGTGTATTTAAAATCAACTCCAAAAGCTCGAATACCAGTATCAGTATCCTCCTGCAACACCAATTGTGATGTACAGTACCTACTTGAGGGGAGACACTGCAGGTGAATGGGCTAACAGATGTATCTAATAAATATCACCAATGGTTTTCCCAGTTGATTGATAACAACAATACAAGGATTTGATGATATGCAACATCTGCTGATGTGTACATGTGTACATCATTTCAAGAGCAGGACACTGACTCTCGGTCGACTGGCTGTCGCTGTCCGTGATGAAGTCACATTTCAAACTGAAAGTTGTCGGTTCAATCTAAGTCCCGGCAATAAACATTTTTTTTTTTTGGGCAAGATGTCAAACCCAGCGGTGTGTGAATGGGTGAATGATGACTTGTGTATGTAAAAGCACTTTGAGGAGTTCAATAAATAACTTTCATTTACAATTTACCACAAAACCAGGTGCTAAATTCTTGTTTGATTTTGTTCGCAGGTGAGAGTCAAAGATTGAACAGAGAGGATTTTATACTCCATAGTTCAGAAATATTGTCAACCTGTACATGTCGTTAGGTATGTATATTGTGGCCTGTATCTATGTTGTATGATGTCCTTTTTGATGTCTTCATGTGGAACCTACTTGCAGCAGGTCTCCCTTGAAAAAGAGATCGATGATCTCAATGGGATTCACCTGGTTAAATAAAGGTTTGAAATGAAAATATTTATGAACAAACCTCTCTGTAAAAAAAACTTCAGAATATATATAGAAATAAAACTAGAAAGTGCAAATTTCTTATCCTTAAATATATGTATTGTAACATTTCAAACATTTTGCAAGCACTACTCAAACATTAAGATAATTATTTATTGTATTTCAAGCTTTCTGAAATGTCATGTTTAATTATGCAAATGAGATATTTTGTATTGCTTACTTTTTTGAATTTAGGAGAAATCTACAGACACAAATAGAACAAAAATACTAACAAAAACATTGACATGTGTATTTTGGAAGTTCCCTTTCCACTAGTCTGAAAGAGGACAAACTGCATGGAAAAGGGTGTTTTGGCCTGCTGTGTTTTGCCTTAAAAGAAAAACAAGGCACAACAAACTGACCATTAATTTGAGTAAATGCAGGACAGCTTTTTACGGCATTGACCCTTTGACTTGAACAGGCCACGCCAGCACAAACAATGTGTTCACACTAAAATATTCATCAAGCACACTAAGGAGTGTCGTGCTTTCTGCACAAAACAAAATAGCTTATATCTCAGGGCAAACTGAGAACCGAGTATCCGGCACTCACGGCACCATCGCCTGTAAAGCCCATCAGAACACAAAAGCCATCATCCTCCACTCTAGACTAGGGTGACCAGACGTCCCCGTTTTCCGGGGACAGTCCCCGTTTGTATAGGCCTGTCCCTGGTTGAAACTGTCCCCGGAAATGTCCCCGTTTTTTAATATACGTTAAAAACACATAGCAAGGTGAAATAAAACGTTTCATGTCAGGAAACACTGGGTAAACAGACTGTGGTCAAGCCAGCCCCCACTTCGGAAAACACAGTCAAAAGCACGTTGTATTGCGGTGCGCGAATATCCTATGGATTACGGTAGAGGCCTGGAAAAACTGCCTTCAAAATAAAAGCGTTTACTCGGTCAATAAGAAATATACTTAAAAAACACACCAAACATATTCATATATACTGGAGCTTAAATTAAGAAATATGTACTATATAATGTGATCAATAATAATGTAAAACAAACTACGTATAACTACCACATTATAACTGAGTGAATGTAAAATGTAAGTATACAGTTATGAAGAATTATCTGACATTTCCACTGGGTGACTAATTTAGTGGGAATGCTGTTAACAGCATTCCAACTAACTGTTATTCTACGGACGAAAAGTTTATTATTATTCCGCCGGTATTTTGCCGCGATTCTCCTCCCGCATTGAACATCGCAGAAACTCCGTTCAAACATCAAAACGTTCAGCTCGGTCGGGAATCGATTGCTATTACTTTTCTCATTCATAACTTTCATAATTCCAGAGATACATCCCATAATACATCCCATTTAATATTGAAGTCAATGGAGGAAATCTTCAGACTTCAACAAATCTTCATGTGACTTCAACTGCTAACTGTTCATTCATACTTTCACTCAGAAACCTCATTCCAACTTTAAAATGTTACACATCTTTCTGACATTATTCGTGTAAAACAACTTTAAATCTGATTCTTACTTTTAGAGATATTAAACATTGTTCAGACCTTGTTTTAGAGGTTTTCTTCACATTTTAACATTAACTAGAG